GAAAAAAAAAAAAAAAAAAAAAAAAAAAAAGGAAGGATATTTTGGCATATACTATGACATGGATGAATCTTGAGGACATTATGTTAAGTGAAATAAACCAGTCACAAAAAAGACAAATACTGTATAATTCCACTTATACAAGGTACTTAGAGTAGTCAAAATCAGAGATGGAAAGCAGAATGATGGTTGCCAGGGGCTGGGAGGAAGGGAGAATGCTGAGTTAGCACTTAATGAGCATAGAGTTTCAGTTTTACAAGATGAAAAGAACTAGGGAGACAGATGGTGGTGATGGTTGCACAACATTATGAATGTCTTCAATGCTACTGAACCATACTGTTAAAAATGGTAAAGTTGTTAAATTTTATCTTGTGTGTGTTTTACTATAATAAAAAATACTGGTAAAAAAGCAATCAATGTAATTTACTATATTTAAAAACTACCAAAAAAATACCATATGATCACTTCATTAGATTCAAAAAAACATTTGACAAAAATCATGATAAAAACTTTCAGAAAACTAAAGAGAAAAAAAGGGAACTTTCTCAACATGATTAAAGAAATCTGTGATAAACCTACAGCTAATATCACAATTAAAAATGAAAACCTGGGTAGGGCCGGCCCGGTGGCGCACTCGGTAGAGTGCGGCGCTTGGGAGTGTGGCGGCACTCCCGCCAAGGGTTCGGATCCCATATAGAGCGCTCACTGGTTGAGCGCGGTGCGGGCGCGACACCGAGGGTTGCAATTCCGTTGCCGGTCACGAAAAAAGAGAAAAAGGAAAGAAAAAAAAAAAAATGAAAACCTGGGGGCTGACCAGTTAGCTCAGTTGGTGCTAATAGAACCAAGGTCCTGGGTTCTATCCCTGTACTGGCTAGCCACCAAAAAAAAAGAAAAGAAAAGAAAAGAAAAACTGAATATTTTCCCCCTAAGATTGGAAACAAGTCAAGAATATCCACTCTGAACATTTCTAATCAATATAGTACTAGAAGTACAAGACACTGCAATAAAGCAGGAAAATTTAAAACTTCTGTTCTTTGAAAGGCACTGTTAAAAGAATGAAAAAACAAGCCACAGACTGGGAAAAAATACAAATGACAAACCTGATAAGGAGCTGAATATATAAAGAACTCTCAAAACTCCATAGGAAAACAAACACCATGTTTTTTTTTTAAAAAAAAGGCAAAAAATTGAACAGACAACTTTGCCTAAAAAGATATGCAGATGACAATTAAGCACATGAAAAAAATGCTTAACACATCATCATTCACTAGGGAAATGCAAATTAGAACTATAATAAGATACCTCCATATACCTATTAGGGTGATTACAATTTATAAAACACATAATACCAATTGTTGGAGAGGATGCAGAGGAACTGAATCTCTCAGCACTAATGGTGAGAATGTAAAATGGTACAAACCACTTTAGAATTAAACCGTTTCTTAAAAAATTAAGCATACACCTACAATATGATCCAGCCATTCCACTTCTAGGTATTGGTCCAAAAGAAATGAAAGTATACATCTACACGAAAACTTGTACAAGATTGATTATCCATAGTAGCTTTAGTAATAGCCCCAACTAGAAACAATCAAAATACCCATCAACAGGTGAACAGATAAACAAACTGTGGTACATCCATACAATGAAACACTGCTCATCAATACAAAATGAACTATTGACAAGAACATGGATGAGTCTCAGAATAATTATACAGAGTGGCAGAAGCCAAACCGTAAAGAGTAAAAACTGTATAATTCAATTTCTATAAAATTCTAGAAAATGCAAACTACAGGGCCGGCCCGGTGGTGCACTGGATAGTGCGCCGCTTGGGAAGCGCGGCGGCGCTCCCGCCTGAGGATTCGGATCCCACATACAGACTGGTTCCCGCTCACTGGCTGAGCGAGGCGCGGGAGCAACACCGAGGGTTGCGATCCCGTGGCCGGTCCCC